TCCACGCAACCATAAAGCCTCCTTAATAGCTTCAGCAACTGCCATATACTCTATCTCTATAGTAGAGAGAGCCACTGTGGGCTGAAGCGTGCAACGCCAACATATAGGTGCACCTGCCAATGTAAAAGCATAACCTGACATAGACTGGCGTTTGTCAAGATCTCCAGCATAATCTGAATCCACATATCCAATACAATCCTGCCCATCCTTCTCATCCTTCTAAAATACTAAACCAATATCCACGGTGCCTCGAACATACCGTAGAATCCACTTCACGGCCTCCCAGTGACCCTTCCCGAGGTCGTGCATGTATCTCGATACCATGCTCACGGCCTGTGATAAATCTGGTCTCTTACACACCATCGTATACATCAAGCTACCTACTGCACTGGCATATGGGACCTTCGACATATAATCTCTGTCCTCAACTGAAACAGGTGACATCAACGCTGAAAGCTTGAAGTGGGGAGCCAATGGTGTGCTAACTGCTTTTGCATTTCCATTAAAGCTGAATTTCTTCAACATCTTCTGCAAGTAGCTCTTCTATGTAAGCTTTAAACTCCCTATCACCCTGTCTCTCTCGATCTCCATACCCAATATCTTCTTTGCCTCACCAAGATCCTTCATCTCAAACTCGGATGATAACTCCTCTTTCAGCTTTCGAATAGCCGAAGAATTCCTGGAAGCAATAAGCATATCGTCAACATATAAAAGCAAATATATGAGCTCACCATCCTGTAGCTTATGCATATAAACGCATGGGTCATATGGGCTCCTCGTATACCCTCGGCCAATCATAAAACCGTCAAATCTCTTATATCACTGTCTTGGTGACTGCTTCAAACCATAAAGAGACTTCTTCAGCTTACAAACCAAATCTTCCTTTCCTGTAGCTTTGAAACCCTAGGGTTGTGTCATGTAGATCTCCTCATCTAAATCACCATGTAGAAAGGCTGTCTTCACATCCATCTGGACCAAATCCAAATCCAACTGTGCCACCAACGCCAATAAAATCCGAATCGACGAATGCTTCACAACGGGTGAAAATACCTCATTGTAATAATGCCCTCAAGCTGTGCATATCCCTTGGCAATCAATCTGGCTTTGAACCGAATGTCCCCAATAGAAGATCCCTCCTTCTTCGCATATACCCACTTGCAACCAATAGCTTTCTTACCCTTAGGTAGATGTGCAAGTGTCCAAGTGTCGTTCTTCTGAAGAGACCGCATCTCCTCCTCCATAGCTTCCCTCCACCTGATCGAATCGGGGCTAGACTCTGCCTCCCTGAATGTGGCTGGAACCATATCATCAACGACCTCCACTGATAATGCATATGCGACCATGACATCATTATACCTAGCTGGCCGACGAATCTCTCTCCTCGGTCTATCTGCTGCAATGGTCCTCTGAACATGATACTGTTCCTGAGTCCCATGATCCATTGTACCCTCGGTCTGCCCGGCTATCATCTTATCTCCTCCCAGTGTCACCTCTGTAGGAGCCTCAATGGATACAGTGCTCTCTGGAGTGGGTGGAGTCACATCACCCTCCACCTGCTGCGATATCTCTTCTGTCTGGTCTCCCTCCACCTGCTGAGGGGCTCGAGGCCTCATCATGTACGCCTCATCAAATATGACATCTCTGCTAATAACTATCTTCTTGTCCAGTGGATCCCATAACTTGAAGCCTTTGACTCCATCTCTAAATCCCACAAAGACTGCTTTCCTCGCTCTCGGATTTAATTTACCATCACTGACATGATAATAAGCTGGACACCCAAATATCCAAGGCGACTCATAGTCACTAGCCACCGAACAAAACCAACGCTCCAAAGGAGTCTTCCCGTCTATCGCAGTGCACGACAACCTGTTCACGAGATGGCTCGTATAAACTAACGCCTCGGCCCAAAAGGATCTAGGCAATCCACTCTGCATCATCATACACCGTACCTTCTCCAGCAAGGTACGGTTTAATCTCTCAGCCACCCCGTTCTGTTACGGTGTCTCTCGAACTGTGAAGTGTCTTCTAATGCCGTGATCCCGGCAAAACTGCAGAAACGGATCACTCTTGTACTCTCCACCGTTATCTGAACGTAGAGTCTTCACCTTTCTACCTGTCTACAGCTCTACTTTCTTCTTCCACTCCACAAAGATATCCAGGACCTGATGTTTATGCTTCATCGGGTATACCCAATTCCTCCTGGAATAGTCATCAATGAAAGTGATAAAATAGTTGGCCCCTCCAAGAGATGTGTTCTTGGAAGGACCCCAAACATCTGTGTGAATATAATCTAATGTACCTCGGGTGTTGTGAACAGCGGTGCCAAACTTCACTCTAGTCTTCTTCCCAAGTACACAATGCTCACACAACTCCATCTTGCAGGTCTTAGCACCTTTCAATAGCCCCTGTTTTGCCAATGACTGTAGGGACTTATCTCCTGTGTGTCCAAGTCTCATGTGCCATAAGGTAGTAGTGTCCTCCTCTGTAGTAATAGAAGCTGCCAGACCCCCTGTAACTACCATAGAACCCTTCGTGACCTTCACTATAGCATCCTCTAAGATCACTCGATATCGTGCTGCCTCCAAAGTCCCAAGAGAAATGATGTTCTTCGTCAACTGCGGCACGAACCTCACTTCCTTCAATTCCCTCACTACACCATCATGCATCCTGATCCGGACTAACCCAATACCACCAATAGGGCATACATGGTCATTACCCATAAGCATGACATCCCCTCTTTCCAGCTCCTCAAAGCTAGAGAATCACTCCCTCTTAGGGCAGATGTGATATGTAGCTCCCAAATCCATCATCCACTCCGTGGAATCCGCATAGCAAACCGACGGTAACGCAGGGCATGAATAACCTGAAGAATCTGAATCTGAATGCTCACCAATAGCTTTTGCAACATTCACTTCGGAAGCTTGTGCAGCTTTCCCCTTATTCTTCCCGGCTTTTTCTTTCCACTTTGGGCAGTCAATCTTCCAATGTCCTTCTTCTTTACAATACCGATATTGATTTCTACCAACACTCTTATAGGCACTCCTATTCTTTGACTTTGAGCGGTTGAATTGGCGACGGTTTGAATCTCGACCTCGAACTGCTAGTGCATCTCCCAATGCCTTCTCGGAGGGTTCACCATCACTCTTCCTCAACTCATAGTTCACCAAAGCTGAGGTCACCTCCTTGTAGCTGACTGTAGTTCTTCCATTGATTATAGTGAGAACGAACGTACCATAATCATCTTCGGGCAACGAACACAGAAGTAGCATCGCCATGTCTTCATCCTCAACTATAATATCCACATTGGCCATATCTGAAAGTAGCTTAGTGAAATTGTTAACATGCTCCCTGATGGAAACTCCCCTCTTCATCTTGAACTGATAAAATCTCTTCTTCAAGTGAAGCCGATTCTCAATGCTCTTCGTCAGATATTTCTCATTGAGTGTTTCCCACATCTTCTTCGCCGACGTCTCGTTCATGACATCATAAATAAGATCCGACGTCAAGCATGACCTAATAACACCACAAGCTCTACTGTTTATCTTTCTCCAAACCTTATCCTCTAACTCAGCGGATTTCTCTTTTAACTCAAGAGCCTCCTCCAAATTCTGTGCATCCAAGGCATCCATCACCTGACACCTCCACAATCCAAAATTGATCTTGCCATCGAACTTCGGAACATCAATCTTCGTGTTATTGATGTTCAGACTCTGTATCGCCTTTGTTAGAGACGAACCTGACGTGCTTGCATCTCCCATGTTGTCGATCTAGCTCTGATACCAATTGTTGTGCGCGGCGGAAGCTTTTAGGGCAACACAAACAATAACTCGAACCAAATCACAAACAATATGCAAAACACAACCACAACAAGAACAAAGGATTTTATGTGGTTCGACAAGTTGCCTACGTCCACGGGGCAAGGAGGGGGGAGATTTTACTACTAGAAATTAAGGGAATACAAATAGGATTACAAATCTCTCAGACCAAACCCTAAAACAAAACACTTGATCTCTCAAAGCTCTCCCACAATTGGATGCAACAATCCTCTCTCAAAGTCTGCTCAAATTCGTCCTTGCATTTGCCCTAACTAATCTGGTTTTAGTTTATATATCAACTTAAAACCGAATCGGGTCAAAACCTGAATCCCAGCCCAGATCATCGTTGGTCGACCGCGGCGGTCGACCGCACAGGTCTCGCGGTCGACCGCGCCGGTCGACCGAATCATCAAACCCGAGAGTAAAAAATCCTACAGTCATCCGCGGTCGACAGCTCCGGTCGACCGCACCGGTCGACCGCCACACACTTCGATTCCCAGTCGGTTTGGTGCACGTTTGCGATCGACCGCGCCGGTCGACCGCCAAACTCTCTGCTGAATTTTCTGATTTTCTGTAATTCTTCAAGTTGATGATGAGAAAGTTTTATTTATTAGTTTCTTTACTTAATCCTCTTGAAATTTTGCGGGGAACGCGGTATCTATTGCAAATGAGAAAAGTTAATTACCAATAACACGACGTGGAATCATTTACATCCTAGATTGTGGAGGATGCCTATAACTCATTAATAGTCTTCTCTCACTCTATGGATCCTATGTGTTATGTTGATTGATAAAGGGCCCATTATATTAATTAATTTTATTTATCCACCTACATAATTTAATGTCATTCTCTACAATTTAAGATGCAGAGCAATCTCTTCCCCAACAACACTAATAAGATACAATCTAACAACTTACAGTTACCCATACAAAAAAAGGTCAGCACCCAATAATTCAATCCACAAACTGATGACTACAACGTGCCAGAAGCTCCCTTTCCGTTGTCTCACTTATTCAATCTGTCAGATATAAAATATGTGCAACATTAGATGCACGCTATACACACAAAATATACATCCCTGACCTAACTTAATTCATTAATGTGATTCTTCCTTTGATCGCGTTGCAACTTGCCAGCCAGCGCGTTCACCCCGCGGCCACCCACTTGGGTTCCCATTTAAAGCTCTCCTTTCCTTCATGATCTATATATGTACCCCAAGCTCAGTGCTTTACATTCTTCATTAGCACTTCTCTTGATTTCTTACTCTATGGACTACAAGCTCCGAGAACGAAGGATATGGGACTGCGACAGCGCTCTCTACGACTCCTTCGAGCTCATCTCCTTCAAACGTCAGCTTGACTCCGCACTGATCGCCAGCTCAAGATGCCTCTCCCTGCCACGGTTATCAGATCCAGATCTGAACCAGATATCTCAAGCTCCTAAGAAGGAGAAGAAGAGGTCTAAAGTTGGGAGATTGATCAGGTCACTGTTCAGATTGAGTGGTAAGAATTCCGACAGAGTGCTAAACGTTGAGGATTCAAAGTCAACGAATTGTGATGGAGTTAATCTCCCTACTATACCGGAAGAGTACTCAGCTGCTGGGGTTGACTTGCTGGAGTTTGACTTGAGCTCTGCCGTGAGGAAGACCATCTCGGAGCGGTTCCCAAGAAATGCCGAACGGTGGTGAAGGAGGGGTAGACTGCGTAAGGCTCAATGCGCTCGCGCATCTCTGAAGTTTAGGTATTCTTGTTCCCAGATTTGTGCTTTGTACATATACATTTACGTGCTCTGTTGTCCTCCCAATGGAATCAAATGTTGCTTCATTGCTCATCATGCATGGAAATTGTACTGGAAGGAGATGAAATGAAATGAATCAAGAAAGAGTCTCGGTTAGGGGCTGTTTGGTTCTTTTCTTTTAAAATACGGTAGAAAGTAAGGGAAAAAGTACATCCATTGTTGGTCCTGGATGTGTAGAGCGAAACCTGGAATCAAAAATCAACAAGTAGCAGAAAATCCAATCATCAATCGACTGACACGATTGTAGGAAACAAAGTTGTAAATCATGCTCTGGTAAGTCGACCAACACAAGGCAACCAGTCGACTGATGTCGCTGTTGTACGTAGCGGAATCGAAACCACAAACAAAATAAGAGAACAAACCAACAACTAAAACAAGCACCACACAAGCAAGACACCAAATAATCTAACAAATGTAACCCTAAACCAACCACTCTCAAGTCCCTCACAAATTCTCCCTCAAAAGTGCTCAAAACTATCTCAATCCTAAACCAACCACTCTCAAGTCCCTCACAAATTCTCCCTCAAAAGTGCTCAAAACTATCTCAATTATCTATTCAAAATCTCCCTCTCAAGTCCCTCACAAATTCTCCCTCAAAAGTGCTCAAAACTATCTCAATTATCTATTCAAAATCTCCCCCATAAACCCTAGAAACATCGTGTTCCTATTTATATAAACACCCAATCCAAATCTGCCCAAGAAAACAAATCGGCCCATTTACCCGATTCCGATCGACCGGGCATGTTCCCGCGGTCGATCGACCAGAACAACGAAAATCAGCACTGTAATCAGCCCTGTATCAATCAACCGCACAAGGTTGACCGGTCGATCGACCGAAACAAGGTTTCAGACCCTATGTTGTGCACGAAATCGATCGACCGGCCTATGTCGTTCGGTCGACTGACCCGCAACCAAACTGAAGCTACTTAATTCCTCAATTCAAATTTGCTGATTTTCGCCACAGTTTTAATAATTCTCCACCTCGACGAAGTTTTCCTAAAGCTGAGCCGACCTTGATACCAACCATCCCACTTGTTGCGTCCAATACGAAGTGGACTCAATCCACAATAACAGACTCAATTCATAACAAGTCGGGAACCCAAATGAGAACTCTACCAATCTCCACCGTGTCAGTATCAACTCATCAAACTGACTGCCTACGTATCCTCTTGCCTAAGGAATCAAGCCTCACGTAGTTCACCCAAATGGCCTCCACATGCCCTCAACAACGAAGAATGTTTAACAATGCCAAACAATGACCAAAATTTACCCCTGTGACGATTTTGGTTAACATATTTGTCGAATTATCCTTTGTGTGGATCTTCTCTAGTTTACTGTCTCCATCATCCAAGACATCTCGCACAAAATGGAACCTGACATCAATGTGTTTTGTTCGGACATGATAAATCTGGTTCTTTGCCAAATAAATAGCTGACATGCTATCACATTTTACCCTGATGGTATCCTGTGCAGTCCCTAAATCATCCAATAACCCTTGCAACCACAAAGCTTCCTTCACAGCTTCAGTCAATGCCATATACTTTGCCTCCATAGTGGAAAGAGCTACTGTATACTGAAGTGTACATATCCAACACACTGGTGCTCCTGCTAGTGTAAACACATATCCAGTAGTAGACCGACACTTATCAATATCCACAGCATAATCCGAATCCACATATCCAACACAATCCTTCCTATTTCTCTCATTCTTCTCAAACACCAAACCAACATCTACGGTACCTTTGATATACCGTAGGATCCACTTCACGGTCTCCCAATGACCCTTCTAGGGGTCATGCATGTACCTAGACACCATGCTCAGGCCTGTGATAAATCTGGTCTTGTACATACCATTGCATACATCAAGTTACTGATGCGGTATAAACATGTACCAAAAAGGTTGCAAGTGCACAACCGTGTCAAGTTATAGTATTTAAAAAGAAGTACGAGCATTGGGCGTCTTATGTGGTAGTCGGAATTTTGCTCCGGTACAACCAGCTACTGAGTAGTACCAAGCTCTTGCTCCTTCATACACATTACCTGTGTATGCAAGAGTAGGGTTTGGGTTCCCAACATAGAGCTGATCATAGCCAAATTGCCGAGAAAAACGATAAGGCTGATATGGTTCAATAAAGCATTTTCTCCCTTGTGGAAAATAAGATAGCCCGGACGAATGTTTATGAGCCACCAAAAGGCACCCCTGCTAAGCATGGTGAAAGAATTCGGTCCCGGAGTGTCTTGATGAAGTTCTGCATACGCGCCGCCCTCGAAAGCGGGAAACTTGCAAGCAATCTCGTAATTATAATCCCGTCTCATTTAACTTGGTACCAACCAGCCCAGTCAGAAGTTTCTAATTGCTGAACAAGAGGGGTTGAGGTGTCATTTGATTCAGGAGTCGTCATTATTGGAGGGCAGTGCAGCACAAACCAAGATACCAAGTAAATATACGGCATCGGCACCCGAGGGGTTGGGGTTTGAATGACGGTCGTCCCGTCAGAATCCACTTTCTTGACGGCAATGAACTCAGAAGATAGTTCCCGCAAGCCACTTTGTAAACAGCACACCATGGCTGAAAGAAGATTCAAAGGTCGTCCATAAGCCAGTAGAACAGCAGGGTATAAAACTTCTACTGTAATAGCATCCACTGGCCTTGTGGGTACCACGCAACGCTTCAACCAAAGAGTCAGAAAACCAGCAAACAAAGCCATGTCGGAGATTGGGACTTCTGCCTGATACTGGAAGCTTTCAAACGTGGTAAACGCCGGGAAGACATCCTCCTCTACCTCGCAAGTATAATGAGAAGTTGCGTCATTGATACGTTCCGTGATCTCCTTAAGGGTACTGGCCGCTAAGTGAGTCACCTCAGCTTCTTTGTCCCACAGATTGTGGAAAAGATATTCCGCCCATTGTCCTTATTTCACGCCGCTTGCTCTTTTCCCAGTAATTTGCGCACATATCTGGAAATGGCACATCAATTCCCAGTAAGTGTCGTAGATTTCGGGAGCACCATTTTTCAGGATCTCTAATTCCCTGCTTCTGGGAACAAAGTCCTCATAAGGCAATTCTCCAAAAGACAGTCCAGAAATCTCAAACATTTCGTGGAGAGCGAAGCCCAGCTCACCAACTGGAGTGAAAAAGGTGCCGGTGTGAGGGTTGTAGAATTCCAGCATAGCGAAGAGTCCGCTGTAATTCGGAGGAATACCGTATCGAGTGGCTGTTATAGGAACTCTCAAATCCGAAATTCTCAAGGGTTCTTCTAGTTCCTCCAAGACGAAATTTATCATCCGGGCCCACCAGTCCGCATCACTGGAGTGAACCCAAGTAGGGGCCCTGAAATCCCGAGCAGGGAACTCTCCTTTGACAGAAATAAATGTTCTGATAAACACCTCCGCTAACTTAGCAGACTCTCCGACAGGGTGCTCTTTTTGGAATAAACCTGGCTTCAAAGCCATGAAATTATTGAAACCAGCGGGATGAGTACCCCGATGAGTGATGTGCCCCGTAGCAACACCGCCTTGGTCTTGAACAAGTTCCCAATTCATCGACCGCGGAATAGAAGCGCACTGATAATAAGAAATTGGCCACATCCGCTCCAAGTTGGGAAGGAAAAGACGACGGTTGTTGACTACCTTCAGCCATTTGTAATTCCCCTCGGACATCCGCTTGGGGTCCATTTTTACAGAATCCCCGAATAGGAAGGACGGCTTCTTTAAAATCTCACGCTCTGCGGTTTCGAATTTGGCATTTGTAACCAAAGACCTGAGAGTCTCAGGAAAGGCTTGAGTGATGAGCTTCGACCGTTCTTTGTGGGTGTTCTGAAACACTGGATATTCAAAGGCGAAGCTGAAGATTGTATTCTTCTCCGCACCTCCCGCATGACCGAAGTAGTGGTTGAAAGAAAGAGGCTCTTTGGAGTAGCATACTGCAAATAGAAAAATTAGTCATAAGAAGTCTAACTCAAGAATACACAGGGTCTCAACCCGCATTTGAAATTTCGAACGCAAGGTTTAGACCTATGTTCGGATTAGCAAACGCAGGGCCTCAATCCACATCTAAAATCTTGAACGTAAGATTTAGACCTGCGTTCGGAGTCTTGAACGCGGGGTCTCAACCTACCTCCAAGATTTTAAACGCAGGATCTAAACCTGCGTTGAAATTTTATGAACGATGGAGCTCCCCATTCGTTTTCTTGAACACTGAGGATTATCTCGCTGGTTTAAGAGTAGAATACAGATCATCAATCAAGGGTTAGGGAGATCCGCTGAACCCACCCCCAATGGCTCAATCTTACCGTTAGTTGAAGAAACCAGCGACGAAGGCGCAGGGATTTGATCGTCCCCAGAGGTTCTAGCCGAAGAAGCACCCTGAGCTTCGGCGATCTTCGATTTGGACGCCATTTTCTTCTTAGGTCCCATGGCAATTGTGGCGAAGAAGACGAAGATGGGCGAAGTATTTAGGAATGGATATTTTCCTCCGTTGAAGCGCTGGAGAAGATGAACAGTAGCCCTGTTTAGAAATCAAGTAAGAAAGGGAAAAGTCGAATGACTTTTTGATTTGACCTCAGTGGTCCATTTATAAACAGCTGTAGCTGTCAAATCGAAACGAGATTTTAGGTAAAATCTCACCTAAAACGTGATTCTCGCGTTTTCAAATGAAGGGGGGGGGGGTTTCAACTCCCAAACGCACCCTCATGATCAAACAGTCAAACGCATGATTTAGACGTGCGTTCTGATGACTAAACTCAGCCTACCACATAAATAACTCCTTCAAAAGGGGTAGATATCCCAAGTAATAATCAGACGGCCGAGATCATTTTACCTCAGACGAACTGATCAAGAAGATTCTTCCGAAGCTGTCTCCCTGACTAAGCTGGGGATGAAAGTCTGTTCATACAAGCTGAAGTCTAAGCCATTGTTGACGAATCAAACAAGAAGGAGGATGTCGACAAAATTTGCCTAAAACCCCGAGATGCTCTACTCAGTCTACGATGGAATACATTTAATCAGCAAAGTTTTGGGATCCAAAGTATTCCAAAAATTCGTCCCAGTCAACCGCAAACTTTCGAAAACTTTGGAGGGGGTTCTGTAGGCTGTCTAAAAATCACAATAGATAGCTGAGTCTCCATCGAACACTGATGATGGAAGTTACAATCTGACGACTTCCAGAAGGCT